CAAAAGAATAATATTCGGGTTCAAACTACCCGGTTTTAGGCCTAATTTCGGATCTAACCCATAATAAACCGTGTCCAGGACACATGGGGAACCCCACCACGCGTGGGGGACACAAACCTTGAACCCCACCACGCGTGGGCTCATTTTTTGGGGCAAACCTATTATAATACACGGATGAAACATTTGGAGGGGAGGACTTTGAAATTTTTTGGAAAAAGGAGTACTGTTCATCATCTTCTTCTTCTTGAAGAAGAAGAAGAAACCCTAACGATCCCTTCCCTCCGTCGACCCACTGTCGTAACCAAACAAGTCCGTCGCACCCCTCGTCGTCACGCTCAATATCACCTGCCCCAACGCCATAACTACCATTCCTTACCAGCCCGTCACCTTCCCCATCTTCTTCCTCATTCGAAAACCAGACAAACCTACGAAGCCCAACCCCGCTACACCCTCGCGACCCACCAGTCCGGAACACCACCATTAAACCACCCCGTCAACTCCCCATCGCCCATAACCACCACCCCAAACAGCTCCCTCCGTCCCTTCTGTCCCAACGACCAAAAACCAGCAAAACCACCCAGAACAACCACCTCCTTTCACCGTCGTCACTGTTCACCCGTCTCCTCTCAAAGTCCGTCGTCACCCCCACCAAACACTCCATCGTCGACCACGTCCAAACACCAAGCAAAACTCAGCAGCCATCGTCGACCACTACCCACAACGACCCCCGTTGTCATTGCACCCCAAGACCACTGCCCAAACAGCCCGTCACACCCCCCCATCGCCCATTACCACCACCCCAAACAGCTCCCTCCGTCCCTTCTGTCCCAACGACCAAAAACCAGCAAAACTACCCAGAATAACCACCTCCTTTCACCGTCGTCACTGTTCACCCGTCTCCTCTCAAAGTCCGTCGTCACCCCCACCAAACACTCCATCGTCGACCACGTCCAAACACCAAGCAAAACTCAGCAGCGATCGTCGACCACTACCCACGACGACCCCCGTTGTCATTGCACCCCAAGACCACTGCCCAAACAGCCCGTCACACCCCCCGTCACCATAACCACCACCCCTCGACGAAAAAAAGAAACAGTCGCTACCAGCTCTCTCCATCGTCTCACACAGCCCACGACCATCACTTCTCCTCCTAGCTCCATCGTTGCACCCCCC